CTCACATCCCACACCCACTACACCCATAGTCACATCCACACCCCACACTCGAAGAGTGTCGTAGTTTGTTGACTGTCGGTTATTTTTTTTGTCCAGCTTAAAAGAGTCGACCAGAACTCAAGAATGTGGCAAAGCGATAATGAAATAAAACGTGTCGTAACGTTGCCTCCATGTTGTCGATGTTATTACAAAAACAACTGTTTCTAGTGTTGCTGTTAACAATACCTTTCGATGTAGAAAATTTATCAGAGTGGGAGTGAAGTTAATATCTATATCATGCATGTCAAAATCTGCACAAGCCTACAGAAAGCAACGATCAATAACTTTTGTCTTTCTTTCTAGCCTTGGCCTAATCGTTTAGAGGACTCTATTCTGAGCACCTCTTTGGAAGTTTCAGAGACGGCAAGCACATGATTTATCATACTACGAAACAGCCGATCTTCAAAATTGGATCCGAATGTCTGCTTCATATTCTTCTAGCATGTTAATATTTATGCAAGAAAACTATCATAGCAAATTTATAGATTAATATTTCAGAGGCAGATCTCTCAAGCAATATACCACTGATGTGATACTTTAAATGATTTTTCTACAGAGAAAGGCTACACTTTTGTATAATACAGCTAGTCAATATTCTTTTATATTTGTCAACAAATAATTTTAAGTTTTATCATGATAACTACGTGTTCGAGAATAGATAGAAAATTTTCTTTTTTTGTGGACAAAAGAAACAATACAATAGATAATCTCAGTTAATGCACCACCAATATTTTATTATGCTTATCTGTTGTTTAACATGAATATGAAAGTAGAAGGGTGTGGGTGTGGGTGTTTGTTGTGGACACATCCACACCCACACTCATACATTTGAAATTGGTATCGAGCAAGAACTATTCGACTTCTTGGTAAGTTTCATTTAATTTAATTATTTTTTAGTATTTGTTTTTATTTTAGAAAATGAAAAAGCTCAATTAATATTTATCGATAATAGTGAAACATGTCAAATAAATATAAACTTAATTCAACCATCAAATAGTAAATTTAGTGGTCGACCAGCACAAGTACATGTTTGTATACTTACTCGAGTTTTTTTTTTAATCTTACAATTTCTTTTTAAATATGGTTATTATTTAAGGTTTTATCATTGACACAAAATGATAAATGTGGATAGAATTGACGGTAATGTATGGGTTTAGAAAATACTGTGAAAAATGAATGATTAACAACAGAAGAACTTATTAAGTAACTGTAGCTGAAAACAATCAAACTAAATGACCGATAATATTTATACACATATCAACATCAACAATTACTGTATGCAAAAAATTTTTTTTTAATATTTGATTATTTTATTTGATTATAGAGTTTGAGTGAATATATGTGTAATTTATATTTAAGTCATCGAACATCAATTTCTGAAATAAGTGAAAATTGGTCTTTGAAAATTGTCAAGAACAGTATGTTTTGTTCGATTTGTCATCATTAATTAATCAAAAACAATATTTTATTTCTAATAATAATCATCAATCTACACTGTCTTTCGATCAAACCATGGATCTCATTATTAATGATCTAATTTCTTTCTCGTCAATAATCAATAGGTTAGTTTATTCGAAAATCAACTTTTTTTTTTGTTATTATAAAAGAAATCGATTATGTAATTGTCTTCTCAAATAAAGGTCATTTTCTACTCAGCGAATTGACAATTAATTTTATTTTTTATATTTGAATCGATTTTAAAAAAATGAGACATTTTCATGATTTTAAAGAATAAATTTTCTTCATACATAAACACCTTTCTGACAATTATTAGAGAAGTTAATCGTTATCAATTTGATTTTTCTAAGTGATTTTTGGTTGGATCATTCACTATTGTTTTACCAACAGGCGAAGAAGGAGAAAGAATAGAAAGAGGAAAGCAGACTTAGGGCCCAACCACACTAAAAAAAGTGACTTATATTAATTTTGTTTTAAGTCATCACGCGTTCACACTAAACAATTAATGTAGGTAAAGAGCATAATACAAAATATTAATGTAATAAGAGGTGCCTCTACCGTACGTGTATAATTTTTACCAACGTACTATTAAACACATATTTTACAATTGTGAAATCTATTGAACCAATTTTTATAAACAGTTAATCTGCTCTTCTTAATGAAAGCCGGACAGAGTCTTAATAACAGTAGTTTCACCATCTTCTGTAAAACATATTTGCAACCAAAAGAAATGATTTAGAATAGAGAAGAATTTCATCAATAATTTATTGAAGTGCGAAAACCAGCGATTTCTATAACAATTTTTGTAGCAAAACAAAACAGTGATATTACTAACAACGAAAATAAAACAAAAATGCTTAAAAGGAGTTCTGCTAGGAAAAAAACGAGTCAGTGGTTTTCTAACATAAATATCATCTATTGTTGATATATTACAAGGCAGTTTATTGCGAACTGTTTGTAGAATATGCTATTCAATTTCATGACAACCTCCCCGAACTTTACATGAACTGTTGTTTTAATGATATTGACCTTGTCGTTGAGATCAAATTTCATTTTTTTAAGCACATACTGCAGCAGAAATTGAAATGGAGAAAACTTGTACATTTTCCTAAGGCAGATTGAAATTTTATTTTTTCTCATGGAACAATTTGAAACATTCCTAAATGAAAAACTGAAATTTCAATTTTTCCTTCCTCATATATATATACGCATGCCCCAAGGAAAACAATGAACATATATGAGGCGTCACAAGTGTGTTTTTTTCTTAGCGAAACGGTATCACATATCATTGGCACATTAATGTTAAATCATCTCAAATAGATGACTTAACTCTGTTTTAACTTTTCTGACGATCCCATTGGTTTAATTCAGTTCTATATTCTCTAGTGTGCACAAGGTCTAAACAAAGAAAACAAAGGAATCACTGTCTTTCATAGAGAGGTTATCGTTCTATATATGTTGTGAACACGAACGGATGCTTATTCATTCTAAATTGTTTTATTTCGGTTGAATACTTTTCTTTTGTTTTTGTAGATGAATAAAACGATCCGAAGACTATTGCCACAAGATTGGGTTGTGCTTGCTGCAGATGGTAACAATTCACCTTCGTTATCAAATACTCTAAAACGTGAATTAATAAAAGCTGAAAAAAAACTTCGCCGGTCGTGCCGAATACGTTCTACGAAACGATTAAGACCATTGCTGATCGCATTTACGTACAGAAATGGAAGTAAGTTGTTAAGCCGTTAAAAATAAAGGCGCTGAACAACAATTTTACGACCTTTTAACTGTTCGACTATATAGCTAGAAATATACATTCGATTTTATAATGTTACACATTGAACATTAGCTGAAACATCAAAAGGAGGGTTTTCGATATTCGAATAATAACTTATAAACTTTGATAAAAACGTATTCTTTATAAGAAAAATTTTTGTTCTATTTGTTAAATTGATTGAAAAAACTTATCCGCCAAACGGTCAATTTTTATCACCCTGAGGGAAAAACAAGACTTGTTGAAAGTGGAATGAGTTGCATAATAAATTAATGTAGATAATGAAACTAGAATTTGTCCTCTATCGCTTTGGAAAAAGGTTTTTTATTTTCTGACTCTTGGTTCCGAAAAAAAAATCATGCCTTTTACGCTAAGCGTTTTCCAAAAAGTCCTGCTCAGTAAAGTTGAGAGCCACTTTTTTTCACTCACCGGGTGTCGATAGAATTTCCAGAAAATTTTCTTCTTTATTGGAGACATGCACTCAGCTTTCGCAAAGATGTACAAAATCCTTACGGACCGAGATAAAGGTTTTTCAACAAAAACCTTCATTTTTCCCCAGTGTTC